CCTTGGAATTTGAGGCAACAAATCCACGCTTGAGATCCTTCACGGCAACGTTCTTCACGTTGAACCCCACGTTGTCACCAGGGAGGGCTTCTTGGAGAGCTTCATGGTGCATCTCAACAGACTTTACCTCAGTAGTCAGTCCAGAGGGGGCAAAGGTGACGACCATACCAGGTTTCAGAATACCTGTCTCAACACGACCCACTGGCACAGTTCCAATACCTCCGATCTTGTAGACATCTTGAAGTGGAAGGCGAAGGGGCTTGTCGGATGGTCTCTTGGGCTCTTGGATCAAGTCGAGGGCCTCAAGAAGGGTTGGGCCCTTGTACCAGTCGAGATTGGTGGATCTTTCAATCATGTTGTCACCCTCAAATCCAGAGATTGGGACGAATGGAATTTTGTCTGGGTTGTAGCCAACCTTCTTGAGGTAGGAAGAAACTTCCTTCACGATTTCGTCGTACCTAGATTTGGAGTACTTGGGAGTGGTGGCATCCATCTGTCACAAAACACACTCATTCAGCAAAGTTACTCATAACAAATGAACGGAAAGAATACTAAATTATAATGAACAACATTACCTTGTTGCAGCAGCAAATCATTTGTCTTACACCAAGAGTGAAGGCAAGAAGGGCGTGTTCACGGGTCTGCCCATCCTTCGAAATACCAGCTTCAAAACCTCCGGTAGTAGAGTCGATGATAAGAACAGCACAGTCGGCCTGTGATGTTCCAGTAATCATGTTCTTGATGAAGTCACGATGGCCTGGAGCATCAATAACAGTGCAGTAGTATTTGGTGGTCTCGAACTTCCACAGGGCAATGTCAATTGTGATACCACGCTCACGTTCAGCCTTGAGCTTGTCCAACACCCAGGCATACTTGAAGGATCTCTTGTTCATCTCAGCAGCTTCCTTCTCAAACCTCTCAATAACACGCTTGTCAATGCCTCCAAGCTTGTAGATCAAATGACCAGTGGTGGTCGACTTGCCAGAATCGACGTGGCCAATGACCACAATATTGATGTGAACCTTCTCCTTACCCATACTTGAATCTCAGCAAAAAATAAGAACCTGCTGCCAAAAAAAAAAAGGATATGAAATAATGATACGAATATAAATCAACCAAATAACACTCTATAATGAAGAAACCTATAGATAATACATACATCTTAATAGATTGCTCGGATGATCCAAAAACCTATATTTTTAACAATATAAACATACTTCATCGACTAAATCCTTAAACAAGAGCGCAGGAGAAGAGGAAATTACTTATCCCATTCAGTAGCTACGCAAGACGTAAGTTTAAATTATTAAGAACATACGTTAACATCAAAAAGAGATTTCAAAGACATATCGGCACCAGTGTTTCTAAATCAAGGACACCCGCCATAAGATCAATTACAAAAACAAATACGTTACGTACTCAGGATAAGAGGGAACGACGCAAGTGCATAAGCAACGTAAACAACATCAGGTCAAAGCGATTTCAGAACGAGAAAAGTATCCAAATATTGTATAAGAACATCTAATTTTCGATCGTAAATTAATAACATCTACTACGAATTCAAATCATTCCAATGAATCTTGAGGAAGAAATTACACAAAATAAGCACTAAAAACGACAAAATTAAAATAAAAAGAGTCAACTCGAATCTCGAACCACATACGATTTCAGAACTCGAAGCAAAGATTAATTCAATTGAAATGGATCATAATCCACACATACAGATAAGAACAAGGTGAATATATCTAAAGAAGTGGAAGAATATACAGAAAAGAAGAATCGAACAGGAGTAAGAAGAAGGACCTGCAGTTAAAACCTCGCAGCGACTGCGAGAGAGAACAGAGTGAATGAGTAATGCTAGATTGTTGGCGCAAGTAGGGTTCGAACCTTGAGGAGCTTTAAATAGACTGTCTCTCAATTCTCAGTTGACGAAATTACCCCTTTAAATATCTTAAGTTTCCAATTGTGGGCCCATTTCTCTCGTCCACAAACTTGCTATGCAAGAAAATGGTCCCAGCAGCTTCGTTGACTTGTGCTCAATTATATTTAATTTTATAAAAAAATTCAAATTACAAAATAAATAATTAAAAAAAAAAATGTTATTTTTACTCATAAACTTATTAAGTTAATATCGTGATGTAGAGAAGTAAAGTGTAACCACCCAAGTCTACTGCTAACGTATATTATCTGTGTTTGGCCTGTCATATATTGTTTTTTAGCCTCGTGATTTTATCACGCGTCTACTAGGGAGAAGTTTTCACACCCTCTAAGGTAGTATCTCACAATCCACACCTTTAGGGGGCACAACATCTTCGTTGGCACACTGCCTCGTGTCTGTCTCTGATACCATTTGTAACAGCATAAGTCCACCATGAGTAGATATTGTCCACTTTTGCCCGTTACGTATCGTCATCAGCCTCATAGTTTTACAACGCATCTACCATGAAGAGATTTCAACACTCTTATAAGGATTATTGTGTTCCCCTCTCCAACCAATGTGGAATCTCACATAAAGTGAGAAAGCTGTTGAGATACGAAAAAACTAAGTACTTAAAAATTCATTTCAAATCGACCTTAAAATTTGATAAGCACAATAATTTTTTTTTTTTTTTTATACATATTCCTTTCGTTTGAACGTTAAAGCTCAAGTAAATAATCAATAGTTACGCTCTATCATTTTTCTGTAGCATAATCATGAAAATTTTGAATATAAAGATTTTTTAAAATAAACCGATAACATAATCGTAAGAGAGTGTCAGAATAATTTCTATTAAATTAAATCATGACTGATAATTAAAATTTAAGGATTCAAAGATGGATTTGAATTTCTTTCATTTGCCATAAAAATTCAACCTTAACCCAAAAGACCATTTCCTATGGATGAATTTGACTAATATTCTTTTTTTTAGTCCAAATCTAATTTGAAAATTGGTTTGAGTCTACATATATAATATAGTCTTTTAAACTAATAAATACATTATTGAATATTTAATTTCACTTCTACTCCATTGTTTAAGTTGTTTAAATCAGTTTATCTAAATTCTAGATATTAAATTAACGTATTTAATATAAATGGATCATATTTTTCAAAATAATCGATCGAAAATAAAAAAAATATATTTTTTTTAATTTTAATTGACATTGAAAAATAAAATAAAAAATTAAAAAAAAAAATCAAAAGTATGGTTTTTAAATAAAAAATAAAAAATACTCTTAAATTTTTAAAATTTTCAATAATATTTTTTAATTTTTTAAAAAAATTATAAAATATTTTTGGAACCCGTTAATATCGTGTTTCAAAAATATAAAACGTACATTGAATTAAAAAAAATGCTCAAGCTTTTGATTAAAATTCATATCAAATTTTCACCGTGCTAATGATATCTTAATCAATTCAAGTAGTGCACTAAATTGCAAAATTTTAATTAAATATAGAGTTAGAATTTATAAAGGAAAAAAAAAAAAGTCAAATAAGTACTGCAAAATAAATTAGATAAAACTCTTAACCCCACAAATAATAATACAAACATAATACTTTCATAAATTTTAAAGAATTGTTTTTTTTTTTAAAGATTAATCATTATATTGTTCCATTATCTTTAAATTGTTTTTTTTATGTAGAAAATTAACTTTAAATGGTTAATTATATCAATTTGAACCATTAATAAAATAGTTTAGCATTTTTTTCTTTTCAAATTTGAGATCAAATTCAAAACTTAATTAGTTAAAAATTGATTTTTTAATGGAAAAGTATACAAACTTAAACGTAATTTAGAATCCAAGAAATTTCGACCTTTCTCGACTTGGAATGAGATCATAAGCAAAAGAAATTCTCAACTATATATATATATATATATATATATATATATATATATATATATATATATATATATATATATATATATATA